CTTCTTCTGGGCTATATTCTCAGCAGCATATTAAACATATAAGGAGAATCCTGTGCTAACGGCCGTCTAAATGACTCGGGTAAAGTTCGTAGCATGCTTGTTGTTTTTGTCTTTGCACTAGGATGCTGTCGGAGTAAATGTGCAGTCATATTCGTTGTGTTCCCACTAGTGCTGTCAGCGTTAATCTGAAATGATGTTAACGCCACAACACGGCAAATCTCCGTTAACGAGCTACCGCGAATCGCCCCGTGCGTGGGGCTAGACGGCCAACACGTTAACAAGCTAACTGCGCTAACACACTAGTTCCCACCCATGTAATTGAGCATTGCGTGGCACATCCAACATACTGTTTTAGTTTAGTCCATGACGCGCTTACCTTCAGGGTCATACGTCACATGAAGACCAAAATAGTTCCAAACGCCAGATCTGAATGAGGGTGGGGGAGGTTCAATTTGCCATGTTGCAACGAGCTTAGCTTCTGTCTCGCTAGCTTGCCCTGTGCTCAGTGGATCTGCGCTCGACAGTGCAGCCTAGGCAGAGTAGTCGAACACAGATCCACTGAGCGCTCAACACAGACAGCATCGTCAGAAGGAAAGCTGATAAAATAAATTACAAATGTTGTATTGTTCGATACATATGCGTACTGAACTGAAAGCACTGTATCCAACGGTTCAATATCGATACGAGTATCGTTGCACCCCTAGTAAACACAGTTACACACATGTGATCCTGTGTGTGTTTTGTCTGCATGTCGCTGGTTCTGGTTTCTGACACTGGGACCTACAGCTGTAAAATTTTACATGTTTATTGTTTATGTTACATAATATTAAGTGAACGACCCCGAGGGCGTGGGGTCGGGGGAGACAGGAACCCCAAGTTAATAAAAAAGAAACATCCAATCAGGACGCAGGCAGGGCGCATTTAAAGGTTGGCCACATGGTTACACACCTCCAGGCCACATTTATTTAAGATGAGTCACAAACTCTGTTTTGCTTGTTTGATGACAGAAATGCTGCGCACGGTCATTTAAAACTAGATGAGATGTCAATAAAGCTGCACACCAAAACAAAGAACCAATCAGAATCGACTAGCTTTGGGTAACCGCTGTAAGAAAGAGGAAACAGTCTCAGAGGAGGTCTGCTGTCACACGAGGCTCATATGACGCAGAGAACCGCAGGTAACAGGTGCATCATGTGACATACAGGGAGCAGCCAACCCTGACACTGACCTCCAGCGCCTGGAACACCGCCCTGCGGTACGAGGCCAGCTTGGTGTAGGAAGCCTGGCTGAAGAACTTGGGGAAGGCGGTGAGGGAGTCCAGCTTGTCTGCAGAAACCTGGAGCAGAGAACACGGCATCAAACACACACGTCCCGCCATCCCGACGCCACAGCGTTTCTGCGCCTCCTCACCTCAGAGAACTTCCCGTCCCCAAACCACTGCAGCCACCTCATGCCGTGGCTGGCCTGCCGCTTGCCGGTGGCTCGCCACGTCACCACGATCCCCGGCCACCACGAGAAGCCTTTGATCTTCCCCCAGACCAGTTCGCCAATCCCGAAGCCCTTGTTGTCCTAAACAGAGACACGGGAGGAAGTGCTGAGTTCATTCACGAGCATCGTCACTTTCTGTTAATTAAAGACGAATCAAAGATTAAAGTCGGGTGAAATCAGTGCGAGACGTTTCGTACAGCAAAGTCTCCTCATCGTGGACGTGAACGTCAAAGCGTTATCAGACGCCGGTCACGTCTGCGAGCATTCCCTAAACCTGCGGACCTCCCACTTAGTTGGTTTGTAGTTTGACTCTGTTCTGTTGTGGTGCAAATATAATAAAAAAGACTAAAACAAAATGTGTGTTCGTCCACGTCGGCTGAAGACACGCTGCTTCCTCTGCAGAGACTTCATCACTGATGACATCACAGCCGTTTCCCGGGGCAGCGGCTCTTTAACGAGCAGCTGGTGGAGCCCGGGCCATGTGACCCTTCAGCCCAGCGGGCTGCGTGGATGCTACGCCCCTCTGACGGAGTGGCTCCTCTGAGCTCAGAGCTTCCATCACGAGTTTCCACGTGGACTCCTCGGGTCATTTCCAGCTTCGTTTATTATTCCTGGACTCCACCGGTTCCACCTGATTGGCTGCCCTTCTGTAAAAGTCTAAACAGCAGCCGTACTGACTCTCTGTGACATCATACAGTACCAACAGCAGAAAAAAACTGAACATTATGAGCCGTCTGAAGTCCCGCCCACCTCCTGTTCAACCTGTCTGTCTACGAGGTGTGGCCAATCAGAAGAGACGTGGTTTAACGCAGCAGCCCACAGCTGTTGCATTAATTATCAATGAGAAAATATCCAAGAGGAAGCCAGCACAGGTCGCCCTGTGTTTGAAAGTGGCCTTAAAAGGGGAGGAGCTAAATCTTGTTGAAGACAGAGGATGAGAACCGCACTGATCACGTCATCACAAACGGGGAGATTTGCACTCATGTGGACTTACGCTGTACTCCTGCTTGGTTTCGGAGCTGGACAAGGTGCTGGTGCTCTGGGCCGAGTCTTTGGAGTCTTGTTCCATGAGCTCCAGTCGAGGGGTCTCCGGGACCCCGCCGGACCCGACCGCAGGTGCCCGAGGATTCCCGGGACACTGAGGGCAGGGAGAGGGAAGGTTGACAGAGGAAGAAGTGGGAGGAGCACAGACTCGACAGCAACAATCATCCTGGAGCTGTGATGAGTCGGCAGCATCATCCCGCTTTGACCAAATATTCAAACGCAAAGTAAAATGAATAAAAAGCGTCTTTGTTAAACTCTTTTATGAAAGAAGTGAGGATGAAGGAGGAGAAGCGATTCTGCAGGCTGCAAACTGACAGCACCACCGCTACCCCACCCTGAGGTGGATGGATGTGTGTCTGTGCAGCTTGTTGCATTGTCCCCTCCCTGCTGCCCCCTGCTGGTCGCTGAGTCAGTCGAGCCGTTAACGTTTTGCAGACTTTCATAAATCCAAATATCTTTTTCTGTATTCTAGAAGAAGATCAGCTGCATCTAAGCTCGCCGCGTGGACAACATGTTTTATGTTTTTAATGGCTGCACATTCCCGAGAGTTTACCGGAGACGTGCCGTGCTCCTGTTTGCGGCTCTGTCTGCGAGGCTTGCCGTGTGCGTGCGGCGTCAGGCCGGCCTGGAAGATGGTTCTGGGTCGAGGCGTCTGTCTCAAGCCCTGAGACGCTCCTGAAGACTTGTCCTGCAAAGAGACAAACACCAGACCAGTGTCCCCTCTGCTCTCGCCTAAATCACAGGGCGGTGAAAAGCTCCTACGCGAGAGTCGTACCGAGTCCCAGGTGCTTTCCTCGTCCTCGCGTCTCTTCCTGCTCCTCTTCCTGCTTCCCCTCGAGCACTGGTTACCATCTGTGGCGGGAAGACAACAGATGGACAGAAGGTGAGACAGATGGTCCGAGAGAAACTGAATATTTTCGCGGGACGGCGTCGCCGGGCAGACGGCTGCCAAAGTCAAAGAGCTTAAACGTGACGATTTCGCCAGTTCAACAGCTTCAAGAACAAACACAAAACCTCACACAGCAGAACATAAACATCTCAGTTAAGTGATTAAAAATGCACTAAATGTTTAATAAGTGAAGACGCAGACACGCTGCATCGCTCCGTCAGGCTCCAGGTTCTCGTGACTTTTAAAGAACTGAAGCAGAAACTTAATCTGAAGAAATGCAGCTCATCATCATCATCATCATCATCATCATGCTGACAGCAGGAAATCATCGCCGCAGCAGAAACATGAAGTGTAAGTCTGAGAAACGCGTGACCTCACAGGCAGCTGTAATCATTCACACATTTTCCCTTTTAATGTGAAGTTTCTGTCCGCAAACACACAGGAAGCCAGCGAACCTTCAAAATAAAGGTCTCACATGAAATAAGTGACGGCGTAAAGACGAGTGGCGTGAGTTACCCTGAGGCGAGGCAGCGTCTCCGTTCTGTTTGGGGCTGAAGGGTGAAGGCGGCTCGGCCGCGGTCAGGGGGCTGTTCTCATTGGTCAGTTCCACTCCGCTGTCATTCTCGGACAGGCCCTCAGCTGGAGGCGTGTCCCCGTTCACCGCTGCCTGGAGACAGAACAGAATCACAAACACTGTTATCTGAGATAAAGCCTCGGAGTGAGGCGGGACGCAGACGAGTGGCAGAGGCGCCCCACAGAGACGCCATCGCTCCATCAGCCCTCCACCCGGAGAGAAGAGAGAGATGATGGAGCTCCACAGAAAACATTTTATTTTACATTTCACTTCCTGTTACCTTTTACTCAGTTTGTCACTGTTATTACCTGAGACTTGGCTGCGGCGCACAGAGTCGATGCTTTCAGGAACCGTAAACGGTAAAAGTTTGGCCTAAAACCAGCGGGAGCGCTGGTGACCAGCAGATGATCAGCTGATCATCTCCAGTGTCAGTTCTTAGTTTTTGGCCCTTACCGTCTTCTTCTCACATGTTTTTAAGGACATGCTGCACACAGAGATATCCCAGGGTTCCAGGTAACTGCTCTTTGGGAATCACCCTGTTTGTCTAAAAATACTAAACTGTGAGATTTTGACAGACTCTACTAACGAAACAGGAACAGACGATGTGTTGAAAATCTTTGCCCGTGTGTCTGTTATGTGCAGATGCCTTCATAATTAAATGAAAATAGTCCAGCACAAGATCAGCCAAATCAAAGGTTTTGTAAGACCTTCAGAAAGTCTGGCTCCTTGAAACGAGGGCTGGCTCAGGACTTCTGCACAGCACTGTGCTGCTTTGCATTGTTCCAATAAGCAACTTTTCCAACTCCCAGATTTTAAGTTCAGTGACGTTAAAGCCTGAAGTTTGTGACGCGAGCGCACGCCACCCTGACCCTGCAGCCCACACAGGGCTCTGCATGACGACGGCGTGCTTGACGTGCCGACACCAACGCTCCACATTCCCGAAGCCTCAGGTCATACTCAGGCAAACACTCACGGAGCCTCTGGCCTCACCGCTGTGACGGCTGCCATTAAAGCGTCACGTGACAAACGATTAGCGCGCCTGACACTGAGCTGAGAGCGGGCAGCCGACGCGGTGCAGTCAGGACTTGTTCAGGCTTCTAATCTCCTGACTGCCGCAGACGTTTGGTGCCGTTCCAACTGGGTCATCCGTCATCTCCAGCATCCAATACGTTAGCTTACTGTCCGTGTCGTACTGCTGCGCTCTGTGTGTGTGTCAGCTGAGACTCTGTGGTCTTGTGGGTCTTGCAGGCAGGTCTGCAGCGTTAAACACAGCCTGGTTACAAGTCCAAACACTGACATGTCAGCAGTTTTCTTTGTTGCTAGCTAAATAAAAGCACTTCAAACAAAAAGCCATCAGGCACGAGGATGTTGTGTAACTACAGTCCAAAGCCTCGCTGCCTTTTACACAGTTTTACTCTTTGATCTGGGAGAATCCACCCACCGTGTTTAGCTTCAGGCCACAGCTGTGTTTCAGGCACAGCTGTTCACGAGCAACACTGACACATCTGCGCCTCCACCTGGGGCGGTGAGAACCACCTCACTGACAGGTGGATGAGCGCCGCGTTGAACGGCTGCTGTCTCATCATACGTGAAGCGAGCAGCGTTCGTTCACACAACCTGTTACTTTAAGTCAAACTTTAAGTTAGCTTGTCTTAAAGAGACACCACACAACTGCGACGGTTACAGCGGGCGTAGTCATAGCGACGCTGTACCGTTGGTGGTTTGATCCCTGGCTGCTCCAGTCCGACCCGACTGTGACATCAGGACCATCGTTTACAGCTGCAGATACATTTATAGACAAACTAAATCATGTCCTCCGCTTCTCCTTCTTCCTAACATATTCTACATATTTGAGATTTTTAGTCCACCAATCAGAAAACCCGAGGTCAAAAGGTCAAGAGTTCCCATTAGTGGGTTTCACACTGCCCAGGAAGAACAGAGGGCAGGTCACGGCAGGTTTAAAGGCGCTGAGCAGTAGGTCTCCGAAGGTCTTTTCTTCTTCTGTGTTTTTACTCGTTTTCGGGTGTCTAAACAAATCCTGAGGCTGAAGCTGGTCAGAAGAACGCTGTCACCTTTCAATCAATCACTGCACCGATTTTGAAGCAGATACATAGAAAGCAGCGATGGTTCAGGACTCTGTGCTTCATGAAACTGCCGGACAGGACGGCTTATTTTAGGAAAAACAAGGACTCGTGCACGTTACTGTAAAACTGCGTCACCTGGCTGCCATCGCTTTCTTTTCGCACACGCGACGGCCCATTTACAGCATCTGCGCTTTGCACGACTCCTGTAATTGTTCTAATCGTTATCTCAGACACTGTCACACACTCAGTTAAGGATCTTGGAGTCTCTGGTGCAGGACCAGCACTCCTTTGAAGAGCGTTGGATCCATGACAGCAGATGACTGTATAGTTTTCATTCCAAGGCACACCTGGACTTGTCCCGTGCACACCAGTCTGCTTCGGCACACGGTTTGGAAACCAGCGGTTCATGTAATCCAGCGTGGCATTAGTCATGTATGTTATGAATGACCAAACATTTGGCCTGACTCCACCGTGAGAAGATCGAGGCTTCCAGAACAGCACTGATGGCGTTTCATCTTCTCACTTTGTGCCCAGCTTTGGTGGGACACCATCTGACTGGTCACACATATCCAGCTGGTTCATCCAATCACCTGCTGAGCACTCTGATTTGAAAGTGTCTTTGTCTGTCTCCAGCGAGGACTTTACAAAAACATGTTCTGTGTGAGCTTGAGACGGTGCAGAGACTAAAATAATGGAGAACTAACGCTGAGTCTGTGTACTCAGGCATCGGGCATGTTCAGCAACAGCTGAAGTCAACATCTGACTCAACAAACTACAGCCGTGAAAGAAAAGCAGCGCGCGTGACAAATCTGCAGCGCTGGCAGCGAGTCAGGATACAGGAGCGACGAGGAATCCGAGCGGCGAGGACACGAAGGCGGGCGGGAATGCTTTCGTTGCTCCTTCTCCCGGCATCGCTTCAGAAGAGCCGGACACGTGAGTTCGTGCAGCGCCCTCCCTGCTCTGCCTGAACACGAACTCCAGCGTCCCACTGAAAGGACCGATTCCACCTTAATCCCACTCTGCCCACGTGACAGCAAGACTGACTGCAAATGATGTTCAGACAATAATGTAACACCTAGAGAGATTATGCATGTGTGTGTGTGTGTGTGTGTGCGTGTGTGCGCGTGTGTGTGTGTGTGTGTGTGTGCGTGTGCGCGTGGGTGTGTTATTGACCCGTCCCATCAATACACCACTGTCT